GTAGAACTGAATGATATTGTAAAATAAAAAATATATATCAAAAAAAACAAAAAAAAACAAAAAAAAGAAGAATATGCAGAACTGCTTTCATTTCGTATATACTCTCCCCTCCTTTCTTCCCTCCCTTCATCCCTCCTCCCTCGATCCATCCTCTCTACATTCACACCTTTTCTGAGTTTGGTTTGCCTTGCTTAACCTAATGATTTTTAATTGCACCTGTTTCCAGCAAATTTTATGGTCTCATTTATCTCTATGGTCAATAAACTTTCTACTGTGCACAAGTACTACATTTGCTTTCCCCATTCACCTGTAGTTGGAAATCAAGTTTTGTTCCATTTCTTAGCTATTGTGAATAATGCAATAGGTTCACTAGTATCTCTGTGATGTATTGGCTTAGAGTCTCCTAGATATATACTAAGGGTTGAGGGTGTCCCAGTTAGCATTAACTGTCACCTTTTTATAGCCTAGAATCACTGAAAGAATCCATGTCCTGTGGTTGTGCCCCAATTAGCTGGCCCCATTGGCTGGTCGTTTTGCAGCAATAAGTTCTCTGAGTCATACTGAGTGACTATGGGGCTCTCTCTATCAACAAAGCCATTGCTGTCTCACACAGACCTGAATTGATTTTGAGGCTTGTGACGATGGCTGGCTGGGAGCTTCTCTTGAAGGTAGGGCCCCAGTCTCTTTCAATCAGAACCCCTGTTTTAACTTTTGGAATATCACTGACTTCCCTTCCTCCCACTGCTAGGGCACAGGGCAGCTGGAACCAACTTCAGCTTGGCTTCTTTTCTGTGAGTTTACCCATCTTTTCCCCCATGCCTTTTAGCTGTCCTGCCACTTCCTTTATGTATTTCAGGGGTTCTTCCCCTCTTCCTTTCTCTAGAAAAGATTTGTTTTCTCCTTTGGAATCTTCTCCTTCACCAGCTCACACGGAGGCAGCTCTTAGTCTGTCGTCTTACCCAGAATCCTTCATTGTACCTTTCTAATCCCATAACCAAAGGAGCTACCAAGATGTGGCATTGTCAGTTTCAGCCTGGTTGGACCAGGAGTGGAGAGTTTGTTCCTTGCAATGACATATTTCCTTGGTGTAGACTGATGTTCTGTGGAGATGAGACCATGACCCCAGTGCACTTTGTCATATTGGTCATATGTGCTCACATGGGGAAGAAATCAGAGCATGACAGTGATGAGGAGGAGGGGATCTGGACAGGGGAGTGTCCCAAATGTCTCCTATGCCAAATCATCAGGACAAAGGTCATCATAGGTGCAGAATGATTTATTATGGCTGAGATCTATTAATCAAGATTAACCCTTGGAGCTTCTGACATGCAATAGCCCTGCAAACTTAATTGAAGATCAAACTTCATCTGGAAACATCTGTTTCTTCTTCCTAGGCACCTGTCACCTATGATGCCCTGATGGACATGGAGTACCTTGACATGATGGTGAATGAAACTCTCAGATTGTACCCAATCGCTAACAGACTAGAGAGGGTCTCAAAGAAGGATGTGGAAATCAATGGAGTGTTCATTCCCAAAGGGACTATAGTTATGGTACCAACTTATCCTCTTCACCGGGACCCTGAGTACTGGCCAGAGCCTGAAGAGTTCCGCCCTGAAAGGTACAGAGACCTCGGGAAGGGGTTCCCAACATGAGCAGGCAGGTTAAATATAAAGTGTCTGTCTTAGTCACTGTTTCATACTGTGAAGAGACACATGACCATAACCATGACCAAGGCAACTCCTATGAAAGAAAGCATTTAACTGGGGCCTTGCTTATAGCTTCAGAGGTTTAGTCCATTATCATCATGGTGGGGAGCACAGTGGCGTGCAGTCAGGCTCTGCTGCAGTAACTGAGAGCTGTATCCTGGTCCACGGGAAGAGAGACTCTGGGCTTGGCACGGGCTTTTGAAATCTCAAAACAATGTGAATATGTACTTGTGCAGGTGCACATTGTGTGTGCATATGTGTATGTGCTCGTGGGAGTGCAAGAAGTGCACATTCTTTCTATATGTGTGTGTTGTAGGCACATATATATGTAGGTGTATGTGCATGAGTGGATGAGCACATGTATGTATATGTCTGAGGTCTGGAGAAAACCTCAGAAGCCTCTCTCTAAGAGCCCTTCGCCTTTTGTTTGTGACAGGATCTCTCATTGGCCTTAGGGCTTTCACTAAGTTAGTGTAGCTGGATAGCACATTCCAGGGATCTGATCATCTCCACCTCCCATCTTGCCACTGCTAGGATTACAGGCACACATCACCATGCCCAGCTTTCTGTGCAGGTTCTAGGGGAACAAACCCAGACCATCACACTTGTCAGACAAGTAATTTACTGAATAAGCCATCTCCTAAGTCCCATACAATTATTATAATGCATTTCTCATGATCAACCATGTGAACTCCTTATCCACACACAACCTAATTTGTCCACACTCCTGTGTTATTTCATAACATATCACATGTAAATACATCTCTTTTTTCCTACAAATTATCAAAAACGATTTTAAAACACCAAGCATTTCTGTTCTTGTCACTTTTTCAGAATCATTTATTTTCACTTATATCGTCAAATAATGAAAAAATCAAATTTGAATAAATTCAGCTCTACGTGTTCAGTAGATATTTTTTAGTGGAGAAGGTAGACATGGAAATCACTCATGATGTTATAGAAGAGACTCATCCTGTGCCCCAGAAAATTATTTGGCTTTGGTTGTTCTGGGGGGGGGGAAGCAAAAGCAATTCTCATAAGAAAAAGAGAGTTGAAGGAGGAGAGGCTGACAGTGAAAACACAGGTGAGGGGAGCGACAAAGAAGGGAAATGAGGGGAGAGGGGGTATGGGGGAGGGAAAATGAGCATTTCCCACAGTGACAGAGAGGTGTCTCCTCCTCCCTAAGTGTGAGGCAGGAGCCCACTTTGCCTTCAGTTCGGTCAATCCCAATATGTCTTTCAGGGAAGGACACTTCATCATCCTGAAAGGAATATTTTCTGTCTAAGGATGTGTTTTCTCTCAAAGAGCATTCATTTCCACTTGTCTCAAGAACCCAGGAAATGCCTGTTTTGGTGTGAGTGGCGTGGACTTTTAGCTCACAGTCCCTTAGTCAGACACCTGCAGTAAGGGCTCAGTTGCAAGTCCACAAACTTGGTTCAGCTACGCCATCCTGGTTGAGGGTGTCAGAACTCCAAACATGGAGCTCTTGGATCTCCATGTTCCATAACCTCATTTGCATCCCCACTCTATCTCCAGGTTCAGCAAGGAGAACAAGGGCAGCATCAATCCTTATGTATACCTGCCCTTCGGGAACGGACCCAGGAACTGCATTGGCATGAGGTTTGCCCTCATCAGCATGAAACTCGCTGTCATCAGAGTCCTGCAGAACTTCACCCTCCAGCCTTGTGAGGAAACAGAGGTGAGGCAAGAAACTCTCTCTATAAATAATGTTTTAACTTTTTATAGAAAAATGTTGGAGCTTTACATACAGAAAATAAAATGCTTGTCTTGGTTACTTTTCTATTGCTGTGATAAAACACCATGACCAAGACAACTTATTTTTTAAAAAAGAAGTGTTTAATTGGGCTTATGGTTGCAGAGGATGAAGGTCCATGATGTCAGAGTGAAGGCATGGCAGCAAGTACAGCTGAGAGGTCAGAGAGAGAGAGAGACTGGAAATGAATGGCACTCGTCTTTTGAAATCTCAATGCCCCCCCTCAGTGACCTACCTCCCCCAACAAGGCCACACCTCCTAATCCTTCCCAAACAGTTCTGTCAACCAAGGACCAAGTATTCAAACATAAGCCTGAGGGGGCAATTTTCATTCAAATCACCACACTGCTCATGGACAATTTAATAATGTAGGGAACAAAAGAAGGTATTTGTAGTCTGATATGAGCTTTAAGGTCTTTCCATCCTGAGCTGTGTCTGAATAAAACACAAGTAAGGAATTCATTTAGAGTCAGTGCAGATTAGGGGACATGACTATATGAAATCTCCTTGAAATTGCGTCCAAGTTAACGAGATGGGAAGATGTTGTGCACACAACATATAATAATGATCTTATCACGGTTTGTGACTGGTGGGCATCACCAGGACTTAAGAGAAGCTTCCAGGTATCAGGGGCTCCCAATCGCTGACTATGCTTTAGAACTAACTATTGAAGAGCCTATGTCTGGCCACTATGTCTGGCCATATTAGGTACATTGAAATAATGCACCCAGAATGTGGCTTTAAGATATAGGCTATTCTCCTGCACACCAAAGTTGAGAGTCACCGATGTGACACAGGATATGTGAATCACTAAAGGTGGCCTTCAAGGTTTCCAAAGCTCACACTAGGCCCAATGTTTGTGGATCAAGATGTAGTCCTCAGATCCTTCTCCAGCATCATGTCTGCTGCGCCTGCTGCCATACTCCCCACCATGATAATGATGGGCCAAGCCTCTGAGACTGTAAGCCTGGCCCCAGTTAAATCCTTTTATAAGAGCTGCTTTCCATAGCAGTAGAAAGTGGCTAAGACTATGGGAAAACTACGTAAATCACTGTCTGATGGTTAAGTTCTAACACACACACATGAAATATACAGTGTTTTCCTGTCCCATTGCCTTTCTTCATGGGAGGCCAGGAGGATATAAGTGGCCTATGGCTACAATATAGCTGTCCTATAAATGTGTGTAGGAGTTTGTTTAGATGGACAGATGGACAGAGCATTTCATCTTGGAAGCAAGCAGGACTCTGGAACACCTAACAAGCTCCAGTTACCCACAGTCTGACGCCCTTCCCCCATGACAATTTTCTTTCCCTTTCCTGTAATGAGATCAAATTGCTATGGAGGAGGCTTCCTCACCCCCTCAAGACTGAAGAGACTGAGGCAAAATGATTATGAAAACATTGAATTACTCAAGGTCATCTTTCAAACTACCCTTGGAAGCTAAAATAACAAGGGCCACTGCTTCATGGATTCCTTGTCCACCATTGAACTAAATGGGCAAACCTGGTGCCCAGGCACTTTGATAACTGAGTCATTCCATAGGGGTGAAATGTGTGATACATTCTCAGGATTACCATACATTCAGTGAATGTAAAATTAACTTTATATTGCCTCCAAAATTCATTTTCTGTATACTTAAGTTATGATCTAAAGTTTTAACTTGGCCTTTTGACTTAAAATTTAAATCACTAAAGAACACAAACCAATATAACTTTTTCCTTAACTCTACACACAATAGGTGTTCAACTAATACTTGCCTGTATAAAAAGATAAGTGCTTTTGCCATCCAGTCTCAGTGAATATGTAGGTATAAAGGACTCAGGATATAGGACAGTGATATACAGTGTGTGCTTATGTGTATAAAGCATTGTGGTCCTTAATGTATCTGTTCTCTTTACTTCTATCACTGCTGGTGCCTCACTCATTGCTTCTCATTGTGATTGTTCAACTATTGCAGATCCCCCTGAAGTTCAGCAGGCAACCAATTCTCCAACCAGAAAACCCCATCATCCTGAAGATTGTGTCAAGAGATAAACCCATAACTGGAGCGTGAATTTCCCTCAGGAACCTTGCTATATTCTTCAAGGGGGCTGTGTCATGGAACACCAGCAAATTTAATTTACCATGGAATGAAACCCAGATGAAATGAGCATAATGTACTTTCCTTGATGATGGAGTATTCAGTAATTCATTGAACATGCTCAGTGTCTATACAGAGTATCATCTATTATGTGATTCAAAGGAAACAAAGTCAGTAATAGATATGGAGATTCATCTTCTGATTCTCTTGGGATGATCTACACTGATTCCAATTAGTTCCATCAATTCTGAATTCTAACTGTAGTAATGGTTTCTCTTTACTTCTACCAATAATTTTTAATAAAATAGAAACTATTGTATTGACTTTTGGTAAAAGTATATCAATTTGTTTCTTTGTAAAATTTTATGATATTGAGAATATAAGTAAATATCTCTTTCAAAAATACATGGTGTCATTATACACATTAATGGGGAAAACACTGAACCAATAAAACAAGATGATAATCCTTTCCAATCACCATGGTCATCCATTGTGTGAACCAATTTGGGATCTGCACTTGACTCTCAAAGTTTGGTGCTGCTGATCCATTTTGAATTGAGACATTGCTTAAGAAATTTATTCATTCATTTACCTAGGCACTTGTGAGAGATCACAGTAACAGCAGATCCTCTCCCCTAGAACTTCAGCACATTCTCACTGTTCTCCCTCTCCTTATCCTTCCTGATTCATAATTTTCTTTCACTGGAATTTCAATTCATATCCTTTCATTGATTCATAATTGCCCTGCACCTAGTTCCATTTTCACTTCCTTTGATGCTCCTTAGTAGTTTTGTTAAGTCTTACCTTGTAATTTTTGCTTTAAATTTTGATAACTCTGACTTAACAATAAAAAGATGTATGGTTTTTAATCAACTGTCTCCAAAATAATCTCTTGTTATGCAGTGAGTACAGTTCTTCCAATTCCTATGATTTTGGTAGTTGCTTCCCTAACTGCAGAGGCATCTCATTTACTTGTAACCCTGAGAGCAGCTTTGCATTATAGGTGTGTTTTCCCTCACATGAGTGGGGCTGTTCAACATGAATGTAACCATGTATTTTTGTGAATGAGAGTTGGCAAAGTCAAATGCATCTTACAGGAAAATAGTGTAATAGTCTTAATATTTGTTTTGTAAAGCTAATATCATGGGTTATTTTTGTGAACAGCTTGATGTTTGGGACCTCTTTCTCAAAATAAATAATTCCTTATTAAACCAGGAATTTGAAGGGAAAAAAGAAATTTATTCGTAGCTTAATTCTGTCATCTTTGAAGGACTTTTAATATGACTCAAGTGAAATGCTAATATTTTTATTATTAGGCTTGACTTATCATCATCTTCCTCTCCACTCACATCTCTGAAAGGCCATGTTTTCTCGGACTTCTTTGGAATCCGTGGTTGTTGCTATGTCAGCTCCAGAGAATCTATAATTACCTGGGATAGAGATGGGCCCAGGATGCCTGTGGGTGGTGGGTGTTTGATTGAGTTGCTTAAAGCGTGAAGGCCCGCCCTCTGTGGGTGGTGCCACATGGGATCCGGGACTATGTAAGTAAGTATAGAAAGGGAGCTGAGCAGCAGCTTGACTCATCACTTCCTGCTTCCTGATTGTGGACGTCACATGACCAATCTTCTAGCTCCTGACACCTGATTTTCCCTCCACTAGAACTGTGAGCCAGAGTAAACTCCTTCTTCCTTAACTTGATTGTCTCGTGGTGCTTATCACAGTAACAGGAAAAGAAATCATGACAGAATCCATCACCAGCTCCTCCCTGTCCTACAACAATGAACATAAAATAAAAATGGCTGACTGGTCAACGGATTGGGCACCAGTCTTATCCAGTATCAGAAGCTTTACTGGGTTCTTTCATTTTACTTTCTACCCTTCCATTCTCTTCTTGAGTCATTTAGTCTAAAAACATTGTGTGAGGCTCATGAAGAAAGCCACTACTGACTCCAAATGGGACCCAGTACTTTGGAGAAGATGTCTACATGGAAGGCAGCCTGGCTGGGTGTGAGAGGCCAAGCCAGCTCTAAAGCCTCCATTGAGACGTATCCTTACACAAGAAGCTTGTGCTTTAGTGAGTAAAGAGCCCACTGGTTACTTCAGCACCAGAGTATCTGATGTTTCTTCTGGCCTCTGCAAGCTCCTGTTCACACATGCACAGACCCA